TTTCTTGTACAGCATTTACTTCTGTTTTTTGTTTTTTTCTTCATTTTATTAGTTTGCCCACAAGTCACCGTAGGCCGCTGGAACTTCCCGGATTCATCTCGAGGGTCCTGTACCCACAAGCAGCGCTTGCCCGATCCCCGAGCTGCTGGCGCGCAGGCCGCCACTGCCCCCCGAGCTGAGCGGCGTCCAGGAACTACATCGACACTGCGCAAGGAGCGCATCGTCTCCTCTTTCTGGAGCACTGGCGCAAGTGGACCTTCGGCGGCCACGGGCGCCAGGCCCGGGCGCGCCTTCGCAGACTGCTCCCCCGCGTGGTGGCCGCGGGCGCCGGCCCCGCCCCCGAGGCCGCCGACGCCCCCCAGCCACCGGCCAGCGAGGGCCCCGACGAGCGGCTGCAGCGGCTGCTGAAGCAGCGGCAGGTGGTGGGGAAGCTGCTGGGCCGCTGGCGTAGCCTCCTGCGGCAGGTGCCCGCGCGCCAGCCCAGCGCCCCGGTCCTGGCGCACGGCCTGTACTGGCCGGAGCACTTCCTGCCGCCCCTGGACGGCGGCGCGCCCCCGCGCTACGACAGACTCACCCTGGACCTCTTCATGCTGGGCTACTTCCAGCTGCTGGAGATGGGCCTGAGCCGCGAGGAGCGCAAGTTCCGCCACCTGCTGTGCTACGAGATGTTCGACCGGCTGGGCAGCCACCCGTGGGAGCTCATCCGCCGCTTCCACCGCGTGGTGCTGGAGGAGGTGGAGGCTGGCCGGCGGGGCTGGAGCGACGGCTTTGAGGATCTCAGGCAACAGTTCTTTGGAGACGGCCCGGACACTCAGCGCCCTTGGGAGGAAGAGGCCGAGAAGGAGCAGGAAGAGAAGAAAGAAGAGGAGAAAGAGGTGGAGGAGAAGGACGAGGACGAGGAGGAGAAGGAGGAGAAGGAGGAGAAGGAGGGGGAGAGGGAGCAGGCCCAAGAAGCTGCTTCAGCTCAGACGGACTGGCCAGAGGGGCAGCCGGAGGCCCCGGCCCCCGCTCCGCAGCCCCCGCCTCCTGCGCCGCAGCCCCCGCCCCCGCCAGCCGAGCCTCCCCCTCCCTTGGACCCTCCTAGCTCCGAAGCCCCCGCTGAAGACCCCCTGGAGCTGTTTAATGAAATGGGCGAGTTCAGCAACGAGGACATCTGCCCCCTTCAATCGACCGCAGCTTCTCCTTC